TTTTGCTTTCTTCCAGACAGTATCCTGCCAGCACCGCTTGAAGTATACTTGCTTTGCTATCTGAAAACCAGATTTCAGAGAAAAATGGAGAAGTCTCATTTTTTTATGAACCCAAATGCTTTGGTGTTTGGCCATCTCATTCACCTGCAGATAAGACTACAACAAGGAATTATTTTGCCCTGTGAGTTTTGAACAGAACCCTGGCCCCAGCTGTGGATGAGAATCCAGCCCAGGGATTTTGGTGACAATCACAGAAAGGTGGAGCACTTCGAGCTGAGGCTGGCTTGTGCACAACTTGCATAATCTCCTGAGACCATGGCTTTCTATTCATGTCCTTATTCTTATGCAGGGATTTTTTTCCCCCTTTACTTCTCAAGGCGTCTTGGTTGTATTTTCTTTCATTCTTAGGACTACTCAGTGAAGCATGTGGGGCAGAAAATATTGCATCAACTCTGCAGAGGAAGTGAGGTGCCTGAGGCTACGTTGGATCAACCAAGGCAGAGCTGGAGGACCACCAAGGGGCTGCTCCTACTTTTCCAGCACCGTCTCCGCAATTCAAGGCTTTTCAACCAAAAATGCAAAACCACCAGGGTTCAGGTGGCTCAGGCGCCCAGCTGCAGGGATATTCTGGTTCCCTGGCACTGCTGATCGACCGTGGCTCCCGGGCTCAGGTTTGTCTGTGTGTCTGGCACGCACTTGGACAGGGACTGAACAGCACGAACTGTCTGAAAAGGTGCTATCATTCTGTATATGCAGCCAAAGGGACTGTTTCTTTTTTCTTTTTGTTTAATGTTTATTTGTTTTTGAGAGACAGGGAGAAAGCATGAGTGGGGGAGGGGCATAAAGAGAGGGAGAGAGAGAATCCCAAGCAGGCTCTGTTCTACCCGTGCAGAGCCCAACGCGGGGCTCAATCTCCCGGAGTCCAAGATACTTGTCCTGAGCAGAAATCAAGAGTCGGAAGCTCGAGTCGGATGCTCAACTGACTGAGGCACCCAGGCGCCCCAGGGACTTTCTGTTTCTAGGATGCTGGCGGGCCTGGCAGCCAAAATGAGACACGTTAAGTGTCACTTGGGACCATCCAGTCATGCTACCCTCTGTAGACACAGACTGTATAAAAATTAGAAAACCACAAGAAAAAAGGAAACCCCTTCATACTTCCATTTGTGATAACCTGATGACATTTTACTTGGAAAAATATCATTAATACTACTTAGAGATGGCCCCCAAAATGTGTTCTCAAGTTTAATACTCTTATGAAAAATTACTTCCTTAATGAAGTTGGTCAACCGCTCCCTCAGGTTTTCGTGGCACAGCCGGATACATATCACTGGGTTGCTAAGCAAAGCCACAGGATGTAATTTAATACATCCTAATCACATTTGGTACCCAGAGGTTTCAAATGGCCCTATTAAGCCGTGGTGCCAGGCTACCGTGCCTGTGTCCAAGAAGCAGACAGTTTGTTTGGCGAAACGCCCTTTGGGCACAAGCTCGAAATCTTATTAGTAAAGATCTGTAAATACACAACAGCCATCGCTTCTCAGTCCTGACTTAGCTCCTAAACAACAAGCCCAGAAAGTAAGCTCTGGCTAATGGTCCAGGACATGGATCTAGAGTATCTAGGCCTCTCAGGTCCTGGAGATCAGTGGCCAGAGATGGCAGGTGACAGATGAGTGTGTCTGGTTTCCAGTGGAAACTCTTCGGCATGGCTGATAAGAAGTGAAAAATACGCACGGGCAGCCTTCAGATGAGACATTCTCCATTAGGGTGAGGTTTGCCTCCAGGGGATGTCTGACAAAGTCTGGAGACATTTTTGGTTGTCGCTGGGGTGGTATCACTGGGTGGGTGGAGGCCAGGGATGCTGCTACCCGTCCTACAAGGGAGGGGACGCCCCCACAATAAAGAACCGCCCCAGCCAGAATGTCAGTAGTGACAGGGCTGAGAAATGCTGTTTAGATAAAAACTGGTAAAAAAAAAAAAATGCGCAAGTCCATTTGCTGTTGTGACTCAGGATGCATTTAATGAGCTCGCATAGCACACTGAACTCCCAGGCAGGGTCAGCAGTGATTTCTACGGCTGTGCCCTCCCACAGAAAACCATTCCACACATCAGCCACTTCTGGGGCCACGCCACAGGTGGCGCTGTCAGGGGGCCTGTGCTCCTCCGGGGGGCTCCTCATGACCTTTCAGATTCCTTCTTGTTCTTTCTGTCCCACGAGTTCCGGCACAGAATACACTCCCCATCCCCAAGGCTTAGGGTCTACACTTCAGACTCAGACTTCGTACTGGCTTGTGGAAGCCAGGCACAGACTGGTACTGGGACTCTCTCCTCATCTTGAAGGTGGGGAACAAAATAGCCTTACCTCCTGAGAATCTGTGTAGAGCACCCGGCTTGCGCCCGGGCCCACAGGAAGAAAGCTACAGAAGTCAGTTTTAGCGCTGTGGTGGTGTTTCTGTACAATCAGCACTACTGTTGTTATCATTATTCCTGTCTGGATCGAAAAGATATTCAATGGGGCACCTGGGTGGCTCGTTGGTTAAGCGTCTGACTTTGGCCTGGGTCCTGATCTTACAGCTGGGGAGTTCGAGCCCTACACTGGGTTCCACACTGACAATGCACAGCCTGCTTTGGATCCTTTGTCTCACTCTGTCCCCCTCTCTTTCTCTCTCTCTCAAAAATAAATAAACATTAAAAAAAAAAAAAACAAAACCAGGTACTCATCTGGAAAACAGGAAAAAAAAAAGTGATTTGAGTTATTCTAAAATCTCAGTAGCTTATTGTATCTGAAACTTTCCCTACCCAAGGAGAGCTACATTTCAGGAAAGAAAAAGGCAAAACCCAAAGGAATCAATCTCTCCTGATGGACTTTCAAGTTCTCATGACAAGAAGGGGAAATATTTTTTAAAAGGGGAAGCTGTCATTTTTTCCTTCAATCAGCCTGGCTCTGGCTGCATTTGAAGCCTCTCTTTGTATGAATCTGAAGCTTTTGCAATCGCCGAAAGACACTGTTAAGTAAATAGGACGGCTGGAATGTGTGCGAGGGCCCACCATGCAGTTTGTTCTAGATGAAAGACACGTTGTACTTGGTTCATCCAGGCTGGCAGCCCCCATCTGCCTGGGGGCCAGCCAATGCCCTTCTCCTCCCTTACTTCTCCGGGGGCCCCAGAGAGGGGCAGCCTCACACTGAGGCCTGGCCTGCCTCCTTCTCACCGTCCAGTAGCTGCCTCAGTGTCCCTCTCTGTGTTTGCCTGCTGTCACCTGCTCTCTCTCCTTTATACCCCTGCCTCAGTGGGCCACATGCCCTCACTCCGTGGCTGCGAACCTAGATACATTCACCTGCTCTGCTTCCTCGCCTGACTCCAGGGCTCCCGGATCCACTTTCTCTCCAGCCAGAGGCAAATGCAGGCCACATCTGAGATCTGGCTCCTGGAACACAGCATGTGTCTGTTTCTCAGAGTAGAGCTGCTTAGGCCTTGTACTGGTTTCCTAGAGTTGCCATCAAAATACTATAAACTGGGTAGTTAAAAACAACAGAATTCTCTCGGTCTGAGACTACAAATCTGACATCAAGGTGTCAGCAGGGCGATGTTCTCTCTGAAGGCCCTGGGGGGGGGGGCGGCGGAATTCTTCCTCATCCCTTCCTAGTTTCTGGTAGTTGCAGGTGGCCCTTAGTGTCGTCCCTTGGCTTGTAAACATCACTCCAATCTCTGCCTCGGTCATCACACAGCAGTCTGTTCTGTGTGTGTCCTTGTGTGTTCTCGGTCTTCACAGAATGGCATTCCCCTCTCTGTGTCTCTGTCTAAACTTCCCTCTTCTTATAAGGACATCAGTCACTGGAGTAGGGCCCACCCTAATTGAATATGACTTTATCTCAATTACGTCTGCCAAGACCCTACTTCCAAATAAGGTCACATTCTGAGTTTGTGGGTGGATGTAGATTTTGAAGGGATACTACTAACCCAATATAAGCCTCTAGGAGCACAGTTTTTCCTGAGGGGCCTCGTCTTTCCAAAGTACAGAAGCATGCCTGGCCTGCTGGGTTCAGACCCACTTGGCCCCAAGGGCTCCACTGCTCCTTCCCACACTTGGGGCCATGGGTGAGCCTGGCAGCTTGGCCCGGGCCCTTCCTCACTGTCAGGGGCTCACCCTCCCTCTTCAGCCAGCCTTCACTGGTCCCGTCCACTCTCCAGTGCCTCAGATAAGGCTGTGCACCCATGAATCCAACTATGGGAAGGCTTTAAAGGGATCCAGGGCTCCTTGCCACTAGGAGGATGGTGAGAGTGTCACCTAACACCACAACGCAACACCCTCACATCCCCACGGTGACCCAGTCAGGGGGCCCCAGGCTCTGTCGCCCATCTGGCGGAACCTGCGTGCCGGGTCCCTCGCTCCCCTCACGTGTTCTCCATGATTAGAATAGGAGCTTTAACTTGCTGCAAAGTCATAGCAGCCCATGGTGGAGGCAGAACGGGGCCTGGCTGAAGAGCACTGAGCCCAGAAGACCACGCAGTCACAGCAAGCGACCCGTCTCCCTCCACTGCTGCCATTCAGATCAACACCTGCTCAAGGGCGGGTGGCATGGGTTCTTCAGCGTGTCACACAAAACCTATCTCTTCACGTCCCAACGAGCACCGAGAGTGAAAGAGAGCCATTCGCGTGGGTGGGAGCACACAACGAAATCCCTACTTGTGAAACTGTTCATTAAGCTTGTTTGGTTGGAAAGGTTATTCTTCTGTGCTGAGGTAGGCGAGCACGGTCAGAAAGCAGGCAGTAAATGAACCAGACAGTGAGGATCACTGAACTTCATAGGCCAAGCGGGGCTTCCCCCCACAACCCAGAAGTTAAAAAAAAAAAATGTGCGAATTATTAACATTATTCAGAGTTTGGCTGAAACAGAAAAATGGCAAGGCACCCTGCGGAGAAAGTCATATTGGACACAGTAATGCTTTACATATGGGACATGTTAACAGAGCACAAATAATGCTTGAGAGAGCTTCTCTTACCTCAATTCCTTCTTTGTTTAAGGCGTATTCATCAAAATTCAAAATGGCTATCTTAATCGTCCTCGGGGGGGGTAGCACTGTCAGACCGATATTAATAGCATTGCTCCTCTTGGGGTCCAGGACGATGACCTCCTGCCTTTTTCCATCTGCAGCAGTTTTCTTGGTGATAAAATAAGGAGAACCCAAGATTAATGCATCATCTTTGGTCCTTTCTGTGTTTCATTATTAAAAGCAAACTCACTACTTATTTAGAGATGAAAACAAATGGCCCTGATTCAGCTCAGGACTGGCTACTGCTCAGCACAGAAGAAAGAGATCAGGGATTAGCTCTGAGAAGCCGCCAAGCATGGGTCAGCAATGGAACTTCACGAGTCAGACACATTACAAAATAAAATTGATTTTCCTTCAATTGGGAAAAATGTGATATTTGGCAAGGAAAAAAAAAACCCTGTTTTTTTCCATAGAGGCAGTGGAAACAGAACTAAAACCTCTCAAAGTTCCCTTCCTGCAGGCTGCAAGGTGTCGGAATGTGCCTTGGTTGGCCTTAGTGCACACGGTATGTGCCGAGAAGACAGGAGTGGTGAGGAGAATCCGGCGTCGCTGGCTTGCCAGCCCCCCTGCATCCCTGGCCACACTGTCTCAGGGAATCCCCTCACCATTTAAACATCCTGTGCCCCTCATAATGGAGCACCTGCCACACTTAGACATCTGGGTGGCTGCCCATTGGGCAGCTGAGGGGGCGCCTTCTGAGGAAGGGAAGCAAAAGGGAACCTGCTCAACAAGAGTGAGGGATGAATGGGCACAGAGGCCAAAGAGGGAGACAGGGGACAAGAAGCGTCCAGGTGTCCTCAAAGAGCCCTAGTGAGTCTGGCTTCCCTGCTGACCTGGGTGCTCCTTGGGGGCAGGTTCTGGGCTGGCAATGACTTGGTAGAGCCTACCAAGTATGGGACTTGGTAAGCCAACATGCGTCCAGAGTCGAGATGACAAAGCCCCCACCCTTCAGCTCTCAGGGAGTTAAGGGCAGGTGGCGACGGAGGAGAGGGGAGGAGTTCTGGCTCAGCCGGCACGCTGTGTGCGCTCAGATTCCTCCCCTGGGACAAACAGAGCTGGAAGGATGACTATTTTCACCTATGTAACAAGCCCAAGCCCAGGTTGATAATGATGAGCAAGGCACAAGGGATGTCCGGAAGGAAAAGACACATTCAGCACGGTGATGGGTATGCTCCCCATGGGCAAGAGCTCAGTGGCGGGGTGGTGGAAGAGGTCAGGCTCTGAAGGAGTTGACGTTGACCTGGACCCTAGGGAATGTCTAGGGGAGAGCCTGGAGTTGGGGAGTGAAAATAAGGAGATAAGAAGTGGCTTTGTCTAGCTTGCTGGAAACTGCCAGGGATGAAGCAAGAGGTTTGGGGGCCATATGCAGGGACCTCAGGAACCAGCTGCTCCGATTCTGCTGCACACAGGCCCCAGCCGAGTGGCTGATGCTGCTGTCAGTCTCTTGCACTGAGGCCCTCCCTACTGGCTGGGCCTTCGAACAGCTGAGCTTTCTGGAGAAGCTGGCCTGCTTTAACACTGAAGGCTGCAAGCTGGCAAGGAGAAATGGACTGTGGTTCCTTAAGCCCTACTAAGCCCTTCCAAACTCAATTGCTAAAATTCTATTTTAAGTCTTTAAATATGCATTTGGGAATAAATTAAAATTTCCTCACGAAGACAATAATTGAAAGCATCCCCAGCTGTTTTGCAGCCTGGTGGCCAGGAGGAACAATTCTTGTGGGTGTGATCAGGTTTGAATGCCCAGGGACATGTGGCCTAGAAGCATTCCACTCTGCAGGGTGAGCTTATCTGCTGTGTATTTAATCAAGTAAGCTTATTAGGAGCCCCTGATATTCAGCTTTTAAGTCTAACATATTGTGTGTGGAAAGCTAAGAAGGAATGAGAAAAGGCTTGGCAAAATGCTGAAGGCAGGCAACAAAGAGGGATGCCAGGACACGAGGCCTGAAGATGCTTCAGTAGACATCCTGTGACCATAAGGAGGGCAGCATGGATGGCAGAAGGAGCCTGGGACCTGGCATAGGAGAGGCAACTACCCATAGCCAGGCTCCAATACAGGAGACATTTCCTGGAAGGCAAGGATTCCCTGGGAATCATTAGCTCTTAGCCCCTCATCTATATAGGCCCTCTTTACTCCAAGAGCCTGGAAAGATGCCTGAGCAGACTCAGCCCAATCTAGCTTTTGTGCAAATGAGAAAAAGATGCCTTCCCTGGGGAGACACAGCCCCATGGCAGCCTGCACAGCACACAGCCTGCACACACCTGTGTGATGGCTCTGAGCCGGGCATGTCCTTGTCTCCATTCCCAACAGCATTCAGTTTATACCAGTGAACACACCCACATACTCTCCTACAAGTCAGGAAGAAGCAAGCCGCTGAGCATCCTGAAATAACAGGGACAGCTGTCCCCAAAGGTGACTCCATGTGTTTTCAGAGCACTTTGACCCACTTGGTAAGGGAAAGAATAAGAATTAAGGTAATATCTGAAATTGAATTGCTCAATCTCTGGATTTTATCCAAAAGGTGTTTTAAATGCTGTTCCTCATCATTAACACAGACTCCACTAGAGGCCACTGAGCACCCAAGTGCCCTGGCGTCCGTTCTGCCCGAGATGAAGGAGGAGATCATGTGGGGATGGCCGACTCTCCCCTTCCCTTCCACGATAACCTAGAGCAGTACCTGTAATAAGCCTAAGTTTTCTGTGCCCAGGAGCACATGCCCACGTCTCAGGATTAGCAGTCATCAAATTCGATCCATTTTAATTGTCATTCTGTGATCAAAGTCCTAGCTCAGCAAGTCTGATCTTTACTATGTCCTTCACATGATCCTGCGACACTGTTTGCAGGGCCCTATGTCTTAGAGCAGGGCCCTATAGGTTCTACAGAGTAGACCCCATCCCAGGAAGCTGATCACTAGGTGAATCTGGGGCTGCAGGGAATGGTCACAGCCTTCTCCCCAAGCATTGGTAGTTACTAATAACCACTTAAATTGACCATCTCCTCTATGCTTCTCAAAAATCCTGCAACTCTATGGTCTTGGATGCTGCCTATTTGAAGCCTCTTCCTGGAGGGGCACACTTCTGTCTTCTTGGAGGCTAGACCTTCAGTCTTCTTGCACAGCTTGGGAGAAAGGAGCTGAATTGCCTTAGTGACCTCCTTCCTGACCCTTATCCAAGGTCTCTGCCTTTATAGCATCTCTTTCCATGGAGGGTAACCTCTTCTCTCACCAGTTTGGACCTTACACCGCCTCCCCTCTCCCTACAATCTTCTTGGCTGAATCAGAAACAAAAACAAACAAGCCCTACATGGCATACAAGACTGAAGCATTTCCCCAGAGACAGTATTTCTGGAAAGGCAACTGTTGGCACACTAGAGGATCCCTGAAAGTTGGGGCTTCAAAGGTGGTGCTATTCTATATGCTGGGCATTACTGCCTGGTTCTGGTCAAGAGTTCAGCTTAACCAGGTTGAAGCAAAGCAGAGCCTGGCTTCTTCCCAGGGTGCCCCATACCCCTTAAACAAGTTCCTTTTCCCCTGAACACTTATGGACATATTTGGAAAAATGGCATGTACAGAGACAGATCCACAGTGGTTTCCCCCACACTGCCTTACTACCACTCTTTTGCTGGGGCAACTATCTCATGCCAGAGTCCAGTGTTCCCATTTCACTTTTAGCCAAGTCCTAATCTAACATGCTGTGCCCAGAGCCTGGGCCCAAGGGAGCCTCTTTCTAGCAAGCCTTTCTTCCCTGATGGTTCTCGAGACTCACTGAGGTGGAGGACCAAACTTTGGCTGATTGACCTTTTTATCAAAAAGTAGCAGAAACAAAATGGAATCCAAGGATCACATGGACAGACTCGGGAGCCCTGAAAGTTAACTTCAGCTGGGATGTGACCATTCATGGCTGTGTGACTTTGGCAAGTCACTGGACCTCTCTGTGCTTCAGTTTCCTCTCTGGCACATATCTTGCAAGGTTTCCTGTGAGAATGAAATGCGACCATGGATGTAAAGCAGCAAGAACAATGCCTGGATCACGGTAGGCACTACAGAGGTATTTGCTAGAACTATCAGAATAGCATTACTGGAGAGTGTTATGCTAAGTGAAATAAGTCATACAGAGAAAGACAGATACCATATGTTTTCACTCCTATGTGGATCCTGAGAAACTTAACAGAAGACCATGGGGAAGGGGAAGGAAAAAAAAAGGTTAGAGAGGGAGCCAAAACATAAGAGACTCTTAAAAACTGAGAATAAACTGAGGGTTGATGAGGGGTGGGAGGGTGGGTGATGGGTCCTGGGGAGGGCACCTGTTGGGATGAGCACTGGGTGTTGTATGGAAACCAATTTGACAATAAATTTCATAAAAAAAAAAAAAGAATAGCATTACTGGAATTAATACATGCGAAGCACTTATGACAATGCTTGGAACATATTACTTTCTAAAAATTAGTTCTCAGCTATTTCACCACCAATGACTCCTTTTTATCATTTCTATTCAACTGACATGTTAAAAATACATGGTCTACCAGTATATATTTTTCATGACTAATGTGTCTACCACATTTGCTGATCAAAGACATCTACATAAATAAGAAGATCAGATCAGATCAGTGTCCTTACCCTGGAGAGTGATAATTCCAGAGGAAAGTATAGAGACTCAATATTCAATTTAGCCTATAAAGCTCTTGCCATGGATACGGACAACTCTCAAGGGGCTTTCTAAATGACTGAAAATAGCTCATGGGTGCTTATTAGAGTCTGCACAGACCTCCAGGCACATGGAATCCCAGAAAATGAGCATTCCTTGAATGGTACTAAAGATCTTGCAAAAAAGAATGTAGAGAACACCTCGGTTTCTGTTTTTAACAAAGAGAATATCATGGTGATTTCCACAGGCCAAATTCCCTTCTGAGGCTAACAGACTGGTCTCTAGGACTAATTGAAAGGAGCATTCTGGAGAAACAACAGGAGATTCTCCTTTTCCAGGAGACATGACTGCTTCCATGACTGATGGCAGATGGGTCAACATTAAGTGACTCATTATCACTAGATAGGAGAAACTCAGCATTATGTATCTGAGAAGAAAACAGGACTGATCAATCTCCTGACACTTTCTGAAGGAAAACCAGAAAATGTAGTTTATTTAGATCAAAGCACAATGGTGAATGCACAAGAGAGTCTTCAGTGGTACTTCTAAACATCAGTGATGCCTGGGCATCATCCTCAGAGATTCTGATCTCCTTGGTCTGGAGCAGGGCACAGGGATCATAGATGTTAAATGATCTCTCATGCATCTAGAGAGACTGATTTAGACTTTTTGAAAGTCTAAAGGCTTTTGAGACAGGACTGCTGAGTAGAAAGTTGTTCTTCAAAGAGGAATGCAATTTAAAAACAGGAAACAAAAGGGAGGGATAAGAGAACATTTCTTAAAATAGAAAACAGTAACAGGGTCCCCTATCCATTCAAAGACACAAAGGACTGGTCCTGCCATTTTTATGAATGATGTAGGATCAAGTCCCCACAGCTACAGACAATGCAGGGAGTTTTTCTTGATGTTAAAACGAGCCTGACACACCCAACAAATACCGAGCTCATCCCAGTACTGGGAGCTAAGCTGTCGATGACAGAGAAACAGTCTTTCCAGATTCAGGGGTAAAGCAGCTTGCGAGGCTCTGGGGTTGGGTGCAGCTGACTGCTGAAGGCAGGGCCACACATCCTGCCACAGCTAACTCCATGCAACCACATCATGGGTGCGGTTCTTGGAAATAAGACAGAAAACCTGGATCCATGTCTCTACACAGCCCTGGGGCTTCTGCCCGTGGCACATGCATAAGGAGGTCCAAGGTCCAGAGAAGGGCCACGGTGAAGGCGGAAACTTCCCCATGAGGGGACAGTATGAAATGAGAAGCACACGTGGAGGCATGCCATCTGGGCAGGTAAAAGGGCTTGCTTTCCAGTGTGTTCATCCTGCCCTGAAGAATCACCCCCTTCGACTTTTTAAAGACTGATTTTACTAGAAATAAAGGATGCAACATTTAAAGAATGGATATTCAGTATACAGAACTTGCCACCCCAGAGGGTGCTGTGACCGAACACGGAAACTGAACTAAGGATGTGATTTAGTCAACAAATACCCCTCAGCTGGAGAGCACTCCCATGAAATGCACGACCTCTCAAAATGCTTCTCAGCATCGCAGTCACAGACCCTGGGTCTGGCTCAGCAGGGCACTGGCTTTGCAATGATAAATCATTCCTCCTCACTCTCCACTAACTGCCAAGAGAGTGACGCCACTGGATATTTTCAAAACTGCCTGTTGAGAAAGTGACAATGACAATGAGACCACAATACAGATGTCATAAAGATGTGACAACTGTGGAATATTCCTAAGTCCTTGTAACAAGGGAGACTGATACACATGGGCAAGCATTAAGGCAACAACGACATCACCCAACTATGTTTGCATAAAGGCTGACAAACCTGTAGCTAGGAATAGAGTTTCTGAGGAACTTGGCAGAATAGGCTTGCCTTATCATGAAGCTTAGGGAAAAAAAGCATTCATTTCCCAGTTCTTCTGCAGCAGTCTTCCATAGCTGAGGCCGGCTGCAACACAGCTGCCTTACTGATGGTAATGGAGTATGTCTAGTACCCTAACCAGAAGACCTCTGAGAGAGAAAGGGAGTGCTCTACATACATGCTGGGACAACAGGCATATACCCGGGCCAACCTGGATACATTAGATGTATGGTCACCCCACCGAAGTCCCAAAGTTGGGTTTTCAATTTCCATATGATAGAATTCAGGTTTTATGAGGGTGATGTTAAATAAAATAACATTTCAGTATGTCCTGAACTTGAGTATAGGGTAGGAAAACTTGACTCCCTTCTTGGGAGAATAAAATGGATTGGGGGATGGGGGAGTCAACGTGGAACACGGTGGTGAAGGGATCAATGCCTCCCTCCTTGGTGCCTCATTTATCACTTTAAATCAATGGTGCACAACTTTGGTTGAGTCCCTGAGGTGCTTTTAAAAATAACCCAGGCTGGGGCTCACCCCAGACCAAATAATTCATCATTCTTTGAATTTTCTTAAAAAGTCACTGTGAATAGCTTCTGATATGTTTTGAAATGTCAGAGTAAATAAAATTGAAAAAAATTCTCCAAACCCATTTTGGAATCCCCTCCCCATGATAAACTTAATGAGCCCAGGGGAGGAAGACAGCATTGAGCCCTCAAAGGGGAGACCAAGTCCCTTTCTTCCTTCCAGTTTTCTCTTCCAGTCCACACCTGTCTTGTGTACTGTCTGTAACTTAGGACATAAAAACTGCCTTTTGGGAGGAGGGACTTTGCTGCTCTTGATTAGGCACATAGGATGAAGGCCACTTCCTGGGGCTCCTCAGGATGATACGAAGTCCATGAGGGTACATCCCCATACCTCCAGGGGCTTTCTGCCCTGACATCATTCTCTGGGGTCACTCCTGTGATCTTCTATGTGATTCACCGCATCTCAGACCAGCAGTAGGAACACAACATGATGAAATTTAGCACAGGATTTCTGTCTTTCTCCACAAAACATAATTAAAGTCATCTTACTAAAAAGCTATATATATTTCCTTCTGAGACAGAAAAATAGATCCAGTTCCAAAAACTATTTGGAAAGGAAATACAAAAGCATATTTTCCTGTTCTTATTTCCATTAACTGGTCACCCAGCCTTGGATCTGGAACATGAATCTTTATTTTGAGGGGTGACCTGGATGGTCAGAAGGATGCTCTGGAGCTCCGGTCTGGTATAAGTTTTCTGACAAAAACCAAAACCGATTCCCTTTGCTCTGTGCTGGCTTGTGAAGTCTATTTCATTTTTATTTGTGTTGCTATTGTGTTTAATGAATAATGAATGAATTCACAAGCCAGAATTCAGAAGTGGTTGTTTACAGCTGTGCTGTATGAAAATCATAATCAAGGATTAGAAACAGAAGTAAAATTGGTTATATCTGCATTAATAACATACACATAAAGATTCAACTCTCCAATGTGATGTATTTTAATCTTAATGTGCATTTTTTACCTTTTGTAACATTTGTAAATTAGTTCCTTCTCACATTTCCTATCTCTGCCCACCCTGCTCCCAAGAACAGAGGTATGGGTTCCTAGGTCCCACTGTAGGACATTCTGAAATCTGTTTGGTAAAAATTTCAATATATTACTTTTCTCTTATGCTCTCATTTTAGAAAAACTAGGCAAACAATTGTTCTTTAGCCAGGCAATCAAGCATTTTAAGAGGTCACCACCTAGTTCAAACAAGAATGGAACTTCAGGCTACTGAGAGGGCAGTGACCAGACTCTTGTCACCAACCAGAGCAGAGTCAAGAGAAGGAGGGAGGCGGGTGAACTGCCCATTTTGGGTCCCCTCAATGAAGTTTTTAATCTTGCTACTTCCTTTTGTAAAAACAAAGTCAGAAAGAACTTCACTGCCAAACTGTTACTCCCTTTACTTCCTCCAACCCAAGCAAGGGCCAGAAACCTAAGGGTGTTGAGCAACCCGTGGAAGCCCAGAGGGCGCACCAGCCAGAGCAGCCCATGTGAGGAGGTGGTGGCTGAAGGAGACCAGCCAACTAGATCAGTAGGTTGGAGGGTGGTGCGAGTGAGGGTGGGTCCCGGATAACTCCGGGCCACCAGAGACTGCTGTTTTAACCAGCCAGGAATAGTTTCTCCCAAATGCCATGCTGCACTGGAAGAACTCAAGGGGACACACGAGTGGCTCAGCACAACATGCCACCAGTCCTGGGAAAGTCAGGACACAGAGACACTGAGAGGGGATGCCCAACCTCACTTTCCTAGGTGTCATTTTCTGGAGAGGACAAAAGGGGGTCTACTTTCAGCGGAAGGAGAGGACTGACTGGACATGATGTGCTGAGTTGGATCCTAGCAGTTTGGATTTACAAACAGGAGGAAGCTTTAATTCTGAACTGAGGGGGGGTGGTGTTCTTGAGGCTAGACCAGTTGAGATTCACATCCTTGCGGAGACTAGGCAGAAATCGACACCAGGGCGAAGGCCAATTCAGGAGGAGCAGCGCCCCTGGTTCCAGGCCCCCCTAGTCCCACCCCTCCCTAGGCATGAACTTTGTCACTTGGCTCCTTGTCTGAAGGGCCCTCTTGTCCTGAGAATGTTGCACCTACTTTTTGATCCGGAATTGGTCGGGGAGCCCAGCTCAGGCAGCCGTGTACTCACCCGAAATGGTGATAAATGGAACACATGGAGCTAAAACTAATTTATGGTAAGTTCTCGCAAGTTTACTCTAAATTACCGTGTGGTTACATCGGAGGTTCAAACTACCATTACCATCCACTATAACCAATCAAGGCGAGAGTAAATAGCCACATCTCCTGGATAAAGTCCAGGTGGTCGATCAATTAGCAAGACTACTTTCCTCTAGTTAACATCAGCATTTACTGGTGGGCTCGGCTAATGTTCCCTGGTTAATGTTTTTGTCTTTTCCTCTGGGTTATTTGGTTCTTTGAAAGCTACTTTGCCTAACGATGTTAGGAAGCTGCTGTCCATGTTGGCCATGAAGGGTCCCATACTCATTTAGGTTACATCTAGCGTATGGCACAAAGACTCATCTCTTAAAGGTGTTTACACCAACCGCCTTTTCTTTCTTTTCTCTTTTTCTTTTTTTTTTTTTTTTTTTTTTTACGTATAGCAAAAGCAGCATGAAGGGAATTTTATATACAACATATCTCCCAGTTCTACTGCTAACAGCGGAGTAACTTCAGAATCTAAGAAAGCATTGGGGGCGCCTGGGTGTTTAGGCCGGTTAAGTCTCACTTGGCTGTCACGACCACAACTGTCCGTGAGTTCAGCCCCGTCAGGCTCTCCCACATGGCCTGTATTCTCGGAGACTGTTTCCTCCCATCTCCCAGGTTCCTCTGCCCCTCCCCATTCATGCTCTGTCTCCCAAGTCCCAAAATAAATAAACGTTGGAAAAAAAAAAAAAAAAAAAATAAAAATTAAAAAAAAAAAAAGAAGCATTTGTGATGCTAGCGGTACCTTTGAGACGGACAGTTCCTTAGACTTGGACTCAAACAGGTGCTCCAGCCTGGAAGTGTCCACCTTAATAGGTTCCAGTTTCAATTGTCATTACAGGAATTCCCCTCGGCAGTAAGTGTTGTTCTGTACATGGCCATCAACGGTCAAGACTTCATTCCAGAATAGACGGATGGTCTTCTTTTTCTTTGTGAATGCCGGCTGACCCCGGGGTACCTGGGGCCACCCTAAGCCCTGAGGAGCGTTGAACACTGGAGGAGGAGGAGCCAATAAATTACCGGGGACAGGAGGGGGAGGCACGCTGTCCAAAAGGGGTGGTGGGGGCGGGGGAGGCAAACCCAGAAAAGTGGGTGGGGGCGGGGGCGGTGGCCCCGGAGCCTCCCTAGGACCCAGGTCCACATCCAGGACGTCGACGTCATCCTCCTCCCCCAGGTCGGTGAAATCCATGTCTTGGATTCTCAGCTCCCTCGGATTGGCCATGAGCTGGTCCCAAATGTAGTCAGATTCCGTCTTCTGCTGTGCAGATGCTTTCTCTGGGACTTTGTCATTAGGCTCGGCATCAGGGGAGATGGACCCTCTCCCCAGGTCCCCACTGTTGAATTTCTCGGCGAAGGCTTTCACGCTGCCCCGATTGTCCAGACAGCCAACGTCCACCCTCCTGACGCTGTCATCCTGGGCCAGAGAGTTGGCCTGCAGGGTGGATATCCTGCTAGCCAGGCTGGCTACCGCCTCCGCGCCCGGCTCAGTCCTCCCGGTCTCGCCCTCTCCCTTCTCCTCGTCATCCGTGGGCTTTCTGTTATGGGCATACAGCATGTCCAGCATGAACCGTTTGTTGGTGAGGATGTCGCCACACTGTTCATTTACACCGGCATCCTGAACACCCGCGGACCACAAACCTGAAAGCATACAGGAGAAAAAAAAAATGAGCAAGTGGCAGGTGCCTTAATCCTGTGAGAAACCAGTTAGGTAATACAGAGGCTTTATACAGAGAGAAAACACTGAAATGAAGTGACTGAAGAGGAGGTGGTCCCAGTTGACAAGATGCCCATCAAAGTTGCAATGACCTGCTCCAGGACCCGACTCTGGTAGGTAGGACGCTGCTCTTGGCTCGCACCTTGGCTCAGAGGAGTATTTCCCCCACTTTTCCTGCCTACCCAGGACAGCTGGTCAGGACCCACCCAGCCACAGGTAACTAAGGGGCTGCTGTCCTAACTAGACACAGGGAGGCAAGGAAGATGCTCCCTCCCCCACCACGGGACAGGTGTTGGAAAGGCTGTAGAGTTACGTCCATCTCCCGGCTACTCCACACGTGCACCAGTGTGGCTCAAAGTGCCTGGGGAGACGCACAAACCCTTTAAGTCCATGGTCACCAGTCTTTGGGAAACCCTTACTGCTGCCTGGTAACCTCATCACAATCTCTCCTGGGTGACTCTGCCTACCTCCTCTCTCTCCTCCAACCTTCCCACTGTCACACATCTTCACACAAGCATGGCCTTGCTTCCTGGTTCAACAGCTTAACAGAAGAAGTCAGGGGAGATGTTCCAGGGCCTCATCCAGCCTCCCCCTGCCCGCACCTGAACACCAGCCATGGCCTCTCTCCTGCGACTAGCGAGAAACCATCCCTCCTAGCAGGGTCAACGCTCCATGTGTGCATTTGGAAGCCATTCCAGTGGTTCTCTGTCCCGCATTTCCCATGCTCCCCCCACTAGACCTTCCTGCTGGCATAGAAGCATGGCATAATTTTACCCACCTTAAGACAAAAACAACTCAGTTGACTCTCCTTAGCCCTCCAGCTATAACCCAACTTTTCTCCTTTCCTTTAAAGTAAAGCTGCTTAGCAGAGTTGTTTTGCTCACTGCTCCAATTTTTCTCTCTATTCTCTCTCTTGAACCCAGCCTAATGAAGTTTCTGCTCTCACCACCTTTGAAAGCTGCTCTTTCCCAGGTGGTCGAAGACTTTGCTGCTGCACTAGACCCAGCAGACGGCTCCCTCCTCGACTTCTGTTCTTCACTTGGCTTCCAGAACATTGCATTCACCTGGTCTGCTTCCTTTCTCCTGGCTGTCCTTTCTCAGTCTGCTGTGCTGATTCCTCCTTATCTTTAACCTTTAAATGTCTTTGGACCTCTTGTGTACTTGGACACTTCCTCTCTTAGACACCATCTCATCCAGCCTCTGGGCTTTAGGGACCACCTCTGCTCTCACCCCCACCCCATCTCGGAACCTGCTTCTCCTGCAGCTAGCTGTTCCCTATCTCAGACGTGGCAACTTTCATCCATCTTGCTGCCAATTCCAAAAATCTCAGGGTCATCTGATTCCCCCTGTTCTTTTATCCCATACATCCAACACAACAGGGTGTCTTGTTAGCTAAATCTTCCTGTCACATCCAGAATCCAACCAACTTTTCTCATCACCTGCCCCGCCATGGCCCTGGGCCGACACAGCATGGTTTCTTGCCTGCAGCACTGGAGGGGCGCCCCCCCAGCTGGTCCCAACTTCCACTCTTGGCCCCTAGAGTCAGTTCTTAACACAATGGCCATGGGATATATTGAAATGGTTGATCACACCTTTCTGCTCAAAGTCTTCTAACGGTGCTACATTTCACCAAGACAAAAAGCCAGTGTGACCTTTCAATGTTCACAAGCCTTGCACGAAACCCCCTTACTTTTCTTGACAAACGTGCCTGAACCTCTTTAGCTAAAGTAGCTGCTTGACATTCCTAACCTCACCAGGCATGATCTGGCCTCAGGGCCTTTGCCCATCCCGGGACAAACTGCACCCATTTAAGCACACAGTTTGCTTCTCAACCTCCTTTAGGTCTTTGCTTAGACAGTATCTTCTCAGTGAAGTCCTCCCAACTACCTCGTTTAGAATTATGCAACACTCCCTCCCTCTCCCCGGAGCTATTTATCACACTTTCCAGCTTTAGTCACCAGAGCACTTATTACAGCCTAATTTTCCACACATTTTCTGTATTTATTTTATTGTTGCCTTTGTCCTAACACTAGTAAGCTGTCCTCTTCGTTGTAATGTAAACTCTCCAAGGGCAGGGATTGGGTTTTGTTGTTGCTGCTCACTGTTGGATTCTCAGCATCCACGATGGATCAATGAATGAATAAATGAACAGTCAGGAATGTTATTCCTTTGAGTTTGCTTCCTAAGGGCCAGCAAGGCTGTTTGGTAGGCATTCAGGAAATGAGTTTCATCAGATACCCAGGGCCTCTGTGGATACTTGTGTTGAGGGATGGCAGAGACCTAGGCCAGAGACTTGAGCATTTGGAGCTCTTGTTCCACCAAAGAGGAATGTCCTGATCAAACACGCCAGGGGATGCACTGGTCTGTCTCACATGGCTCTGACTTCATCTTAGAGGAGGCATTCACTGAGGAGGCACAAAGGCCTCCTGATGCTCTGTTTCTTCCAATGTAGCTTTATCCTCTGTACCTTGCTCAGGAGTGGCCTGACCTCACCAAAGGACCAACACCAGAACAAGGAGCCCTTGAACCCTCTTGCAGGTTTCACAAAATACACTTAGGAGACAACCACCATCAAAGAGGGAGGAGATGGCACTTGAGGACATGATGGGAACATCTGGGTATTTGCAGTCCCTATGACTGGCCAGACAGTCCTGTAACTAGGAAGACAGTTTTGAGGTCACGGGGCTGCTGCAGGTGGAGTGGCTGACTGGTCTCCTTCCCCATTTACTGGGAAAAGTAGAAGTTTTTTATTTTGCCAAAAAATCTCTTCATTCACTTAGGTCTTCTTATATCGCTATGTAGTATATGCTTCTTTGTCTCTAGCAATTTCCTTGGCTCTGAAGTCTACTTTGATCCTAATATAGCCTCTCCTGCTTTTCTTTGATCAATGTTAGCATGATGTATCTTTTCCCAGCTTTTAACTTTCCATCTGCCTATGCCATCATGTAGGAAATGAGTTCTGAACACATGGCATATAGCTGGGTTGTATTTTTGTCCACTCTGCACATCTCCATCTTTTCATTTAAATTATTGATATGTTAGGGCTTCAGTCTGCCACTTTTTTTTAATTCATTCTGTTTGTTTTAGTTCCTGTTTCATTTTTTTTTTTGGTCTCCTTTTCTTTGAACACTTTTTTTTTAGAATTTCAATTTGATTTATAGTGTTTTTGAGTACCCTGCTTCATATAATTTTCTCGGCAGTGGCTCTAGGTATTACGATATGCACAGTAACTTATCTGTCAGTGTTGATATTTCACTAGTTTGAAGCATAGAACCCTTACTTCCATTTAGAGCCCTTTACCCTCCCTACTTCAAAAAAATGTAATTGTCTTAAGTATTTCATCTACGTATAGTGGGCACTACATCTCATGTGTTACAGTTTTTGCTTCCACCATCACATACTAGATTTAAGAAACTTACAAGGCAAGAGACAGTCTTTTCTACTTACTACTTTAATCCATTCCCCTGTTCTTTTTCTTTCTGAAATTCTGAGCCTTCTGTCATCATTTCCTTTCTGTTCAGAGAACATTCTCTCGTCATTCCTTAAGAGTAGGTCTTAATTTGTCTTAGTTTTTCTTTAAATTCTCTTAGTTTTTCTTTAACCGAGTATGTCTTTGTTGTGTCTTCATTCTTAAAGGCTACTTTTGCTGGAGTTGATAACTCTAGTTCAAGGTTGATAACTCTAGTCTTCGAGCGCTCAACAAATGCTGCGCCACTTCCCGCTCACCTCCATGTTTCAGATGAGGAACTGTTTTGCCATGGAATTGGTGTTCCTCTATAGGTAACACTTTGTTTCTTCCCAGTCCCTTTCAAGACATTCTATTTTTGGTCTTTAGTTTTCAGAAGTTTGCTTATCATTTGTCTTGGTGTGAATTTCTTTGGATTTATCCCCATTAGTACTTGCTTAGCTTCTTAAATCTGTGGGTTTACACCTTTTCCCAAATATGGGAAAATTTCAGTCATTATTTCTTCAAACATTTTTCCAACATTGCATACTTTCTCCTCCCCTTCTCAGACCCTGATGAAATGAATGTTAGCTCTCTTGACATAGTCTCACAAATACCTGAGGCTCTGTTCATTTTTTCAGTCAGTTTTTTTTTCCCCTCTGTTATTCAGGTTGGGTAATTTCTACTCATCTGTTTTCAACTGCATATATTATTTCTTTTGTTGTCTCCAATCTACTATATGGCCCAAGTGTTTTATTGTGGCCATTGTATTTTTTCAGTTCTATAATTTCCTTTTGGTTCTTTTTTATATCTTCTATTTCTTTGCTAAGATATTTCATTTCTTTTACATATTTCCTGAATATTTGTAACTGTTCACTGAAATATTAGCATGATGGCTGTTTTAAAATCCTTGTCAGATAATCCCAACAACTGGCTCATCTCAATGTTGGCATTTGTTGCTTGTCTTTTCCCATTCAAGTTGTGAACGCCCTAGTTCTTGATATGATGAGTGATTTTAGAGTGTATCCTAGATATTTTGGGTATTATTTGCTGGACTTTGGATCATGTTTAATCTTCTCTTTCAGCAGGCAGTCACCCTTTTTAGGTGTGCTGTACAGATCTTGATGGGCATAGATGTTCCACTCCCTACTGGGTCCAACTGTCACCACCCTAGCAAGAGGGTTGATTCACACTGCCTCACTGCAGATGGGCAGTGTGGGGGTTGAGCAACCTCTTGACCCCACGGGCATACTTCCAGTGAAAGTGGAGCACTTACATTGCCTCCAAGTGGAGGGGAAGGCTCGGCTTCCCACTGGTCCCTACTGATTCTGGGTTGGGGAAAAGAGATCGCAGACTAGTTCCACCTCCAACCACATCATTCTACCTTGTTTATGTTGGGTGGAGATGGAGGTTGAGCTCCCTGGCTGGGCCCAGATGGTGTTAGAGAAGGAGGGCAGGGGAACGAGAATTCTGATCAGTCTTCTTCCACTGCTTAAGTCTGTCTCCTGCTGGCTGAAGGTGAAGTCTTAGATCTCTACAAGACCCCACTGACACTTCCCCAGTAGGGAAACTGGGATGCCACTTGCTTTTGCCCTGTAGTGGATAGAATATCAGTTCCCCATTAGGAGAACTACTCCAGCAAGGAAATGAGAGAACACCATCTGCTTCTGTTGGGCAGGGGGCAGAGGACTGCCTCTCTACTAAGTACTGTTGACACCACAGTGCTCATCCCAAAAAGTGACCTACCTAATGCCCATCACCCATTTAGCCCATCCCTTCATGCACCTCCCCTCCAGAAACCCGTTTCCATAAGGTGGAGGTTATAGAAGATCACCTCCTCTTTGGTCCCACTAAAGCTACTGGGTTGGGGAGGGGCAGGACAGCAGATTTTCAATTAGTGCTTGTCTAGGGTAGGGAATGTATTAACAGCCAAAAAATTTTCTGTTCTGTTAGGCAATCATTTCGCCAATTCTTTGGCTATGGGAATAGGATTTAATTAGAGCTTTACTGCCATGTCATTCTAGCCCAAAGGTCCTTAGACAGTCTGTCTTCTTTCCACTTTTCAGAGTCCTCCTATAATTGATTGTTCTGTTATGCCCAGGGTGTTGATATTTTAATTGTTAGAGGGAGGAACTGGGAACAATAGAGCTGCTGTATCTTGGCCAGTTGTCTCTTCATTCAATTATTCATCAACAGTTTTGTGAGCCTCTACTATGTTCTTAGGCCTACCGCAAGGAAGTGAGGACTCACGATAGACAAGACAGACATCCCGTCTTCACAAATTTTATATTCAAGTGGAGGTAAAAGACAGTTATACAAGTCATTATTGCCAACTGTAACGAATGCTACCATAAAGTCTCTCATGCTGATGCCATGGAGCGGAACATGGGAAACAAAAAGAAAGCCACACAACCAGAATAAGTTGAGACTCTTTCAAGACCTACAAACTCATTTCTGAGTAATGGATACTATCATCAGAAAGAAGACTGAGTCTGGGCATTGAAGAGGGCACTTGTTGAGATGAGCACTGGGTGTTGTATGTAAGCGATGAACCACAGCAATCTACCCCCAAAAACCAAGAGCACACTTTACATGCTGTATGTTAGTCAATTTGACAATAAATTTAAAAAAAATAAATAAGATTGAGTCTCTTATAGTTTGCCTCCTTCTCTGTTTTTTATCTTATTAAATACAGAGAACTGAGGGTTGCTGGAGGGGTGGTGGGAGGGGGGACGGGTTAACTAGGTGACAAGCTTTAAGGAGGGCACTTTTTGGGATGAGCCCTGAGTGTCATATGTGAGAGATGAATCACTAGGTTCTACTCCTGAAGCCAAGAATACACTGTACATTAACTAACTTGAATTTAAATGAAAAAAGAAGAAATAAGATTGAGAATTGTTATGATTGCCTTTGTGATTTGAGAACACTCTGAAAGGCAAGAGCTATGATGACAGAGCCACCCTGACTCCACAGCTGCTGATCGTGCCTGTGAGCAGTGGGATTTTCTAGGAGCTAAAGTTGCAGCAAATAAATATGATCATGTCTCTTAATAGCACCAGACTAAAGCAGAAAAAAAAAAATCACTGCAAAGCACTAACTCCTGAGTCGATACACTTGGATACTGACTTTGGTAGGAAGTCAGTGGTTCTTCACTGGGAGTAGAGTCTCCATTTTTGGAAAGTTGCCCTTATTTGGAAAAATACTGGGCAATCTGATCCAAGAAAGTCCTGTTCCTTGGCTTCTTTTCACTAATGCAACTTGTTGATATGTTTTAGGCCTGCTAAACCTAGTGACGACGAATAATTCCTAGAGCTATTTATAATGACTTAAACATGATTTAAGACCAACCTGAGCAAGACGACTTACCCGACTGTACTATGGCCCTAATCCCATTGAAGGAGAACACGAACAAGTAGAATTTGGGAGACTAACTGCAATCTGACTCGGAGAGAAATTAAGTAAATATCAATATATGTAATACTTTCTAGCGATACATCTCCAGCCAGACACAAGATTTTCAATGCAATAATTACTAAGATATAAACTAATAAAGTCCTCAAGTCCCATTTTCAGTGCGTCATAGGGACTAGCAATAGAAAGAACAAAACTTAATAATATAGCTGGTGAAAACTCAAATATTAACTAAGACCAAGCTCTTGACTGATAGTTCTTGTAGCAGACATTATGGCTTCATTCATTCATTCATCCATTCATTCCATTTTCATTCATACATCCATGCTTCAGAGACCATGTATTCTTTATGTGTGAACTAACAAGCCATGCATGGGTCATGCCACCAGTTGGTAGGCCCCTGCAGAGCCTTCATGCTGCACTTTGGACCCAAGGCATAGGCTCCTTGAGTGTGTATCACTGTGTAGCTTACTGAAGGCTGGCTAGTAGGACATGCCCCACTGATGAGGAGTGTTAGGTGAGAGAGGGGGCACCCTGTCATCTCAACAGCACACAAGTCATGGGCAGGACAACCAACCCAATGGTGTTGCATATGAACCATAATTCAAATGATTATATCAATCTTTTACAATTCCGATAACCCTCTATGGCACCCTCCCCGAGTCCCCAGTAAGGATTAATGTTCCATTTGGCCCTTAACCATAGAGTCACCATTACACAGATGAACTGAATAAATATCAGCTATAATACCAAAAAGAACAAACTCCATAAAGAAAAGCATATACTTTATACCAAAGAAACAAGTGGGCCCTGAGTATATTGTAGAAAGTTACTTAAATTATATATATTCCATTAAAGCACACCAAATTGACCTCAGCACATCGTGAACTGCCACTTTTTGGAAATACTCATTCAGTTCATTTTAGCGCATTTGCTCTGGTCTGAAACGCCCATCATAATGGTTTTAGCACACTTCACCAAAGAAACTTTCAAGGGAGCAGATGGCAACACGACAGATCTCTAAATTTAAATCAGAAAAAGAGCTGTATTTACTCTTAACAAGCAATTAGAAGAAAGAGAGGAATTTCTCTTTGGGAGCTTATTCCTCAGGAAAAGTCCTTTGCTGCCCTCATTATCAAGCCCTTCTCCCACCTGTAGAAGTGATGGTGCGACAGCATGGCAGAGGGTGTGGGGCCACCTCCACAAGGGGCAGGAAGCTGTGGGCTGCCGACAGTGTGGCCGCATCCTTCACACCTCCAGCCATCAGGTGCCACGGCCAGTGAGTGAGCTGAGCGGGAGGTCACCTCAGTGGCCAGCAAACCAGGTGTCCCACCCCAGGGTTCCCTGGGACTTATTTACTGAGAAAAAAGGACTGCGTTACCAGGTCCCCTGTCCCTGGAGAGCTTGTCTTCCTTCTCCTCCCTCTCTAACGTGCTGCTGGAGGATGAGATGCTGGAGGCGGAGCAGTTGTCCTTCTCGTTCACCTCCTCGCTCTGCCTCTCTTTCTCACTGAGGGAGGCCCGCTCTTCTGGCTCTTGCTCCAGTGCTCGCTCCGCTTCACTCTCTGCTCCCACGCGGGCAGGGGCTACTTCAGGGCTGGCCTCGTCCGCACTCTGCCCTACCTCCGCCTCCGGTCCAGGCTCGGGATCCCCAGCACTGGCTGGTGGAGACAACAATGGAGATTATGATCACAACAGGAACTCCCTGGGAATGTCAAGTGAGGTATGAAAGCAGACCTGAGGTTGATTTCTCTTGGCTGTCTGCTGTGGGCGACATTCGAAAGGCGACCCCCAAGATTCCCATGCCCTGGCCATTCAGTTAAACGCTAAACACTAACACTGCTGGGAAGGGACCGTGTAGCTGACGGTGCAGTCTCAAGTTACGTGACTTCAAGGTCTAGAGGTTATCTAGGGGGGCCTGATTCGATCTGGTGAGACTTTTAAAAGCAGGGTGTTTTCTGATTGGCTACAAAAAAGAAAGTTGAGAGATCAGAAGTGTGTGGCTTAAGGGGCGCCTGGGTGGCTCTGTTGGTTCAGCGTCCTACTTAGGCTCAGGTCATGATCTTGGGGTTCACGGGTTCAAGCCCCATGTTGGGCTCTGTGCGGACAGCTCAGAGCCTGGAGCCAGCTTCAGATTCTGTGTCTCCCTCTCTCTCTTCCCTTCCCCTGCTCGCGCTCTCTCTCTCTCAAAAATAAACCTTAACAAATTTTTTTTTTTTAATTTTAAAAAAAGCATGTGGCCTTAAAGATGGAGGGGCCATATGACAGACAAGGAACGCGAGTGGTCCCTAGAACCTGAGAGCAACTCGCAGCCAACATGAAATAAAGAACAGGGACTTTGGAGCTGTGAGCATAAGAAACTGACGTCTGCCAACAACCGAAATGAACCTGGAGGTGGTCTTCCCAGGGCCTCCCTCAGCTCCCAGTAAGAGACAGGCCAGCCACAGCTTTGACTGTGGCCTCGTGATACCCGGGGCTGAGAACACAGTTGAGCCATGCTGGCCTGCTGGCCTTCTGACCTGTGGAAACTGTGAGATAATAAATGGCTATATTTTGAATCGCTGTGTTTGTGGTAATTTATTACACAGCAGTAGCAGCCTGATGTTTTATCGGTTGCCAAACCAGTGAGGATTGCCCCCCCCCCCCCTTTGCTTGAATGAGGTTTACTCATAATTTGAAGTTAGGCCCTAACTCTGAAAGTCGTTCAGGAGAATCACTGCTGGGCCCAGAAGCATTTGCAAACCTATCAAGACTGGAGATCTGATGCTTGTAGCAAGGTAAAATGTTCACGCTCCCCTATGTGACATCCTCTGAGGAAAGGGAAAATGGCACAGTATGGCTTTGCATGGTTTTACACAACAAATCTCTCAGCTGTGCACAGTGTATCCATAGCAAATGATAGAGAATACAAAAAATTCTGAGCCAACTGTCACGTGTGAAGGCCAGAGGAGGACAGGTCGGTCCTGAGAGTGTGACCCCCAGGGCTGGGAAAAACTACATTGCTGGAATCCTGGCAATGTGCCCCCGGCCCTAGGCAATTGCTACTCGAAGCAATATGGAAATTCAGCAGGATCTGCCTGGGGCAGGACCTGGAAGAGACCCCAGAAGAACAAGCAGATCAGGGAGGTGTCTCGTGGAGGCATCCTGCTGGCTCAGGCGAGTGGGGACTGGCTGGCAATGAGATACCAGAACAGGGCCTCCAGGAGGCCAGGCGGGGCAACTGCTAAAAGGCAGAGGAAAGCTCAGGCCTCACTGGGGTGGGGGTGGCGGGGGAGGCAGCTGCCCTCAGCTTCCCAGCCAGAAGCCATGCTGCCAGTTCCAGCTGGGTCCAGTACCCTCACCCCTTATCTGCTCTCAGCCTCCTTCCTCTGAGAACGAGGGAATTGAGGAAGTTGCAACGTCAGCTTTTCCTCGTGTCCTTGGGTAACTTCCAACTCCAAAGGGAAGCAGGACCCCTCCGTGGGAATCTCCCCAGGGCCCTTCAGGTAGGAAGTGGGTGCAGAGGTCACAGAGCCTCTACCTTCCACCTGCCCGGGGCCTCACGACTGTCTGTATATCTTCTAGCCTAGTACAGGAACCTGCTTCCCTGGAACACTGGAGGAAAGGCAGGCTGGGGTGGCAACGGGCCTCTGCTGTCTTCTGGCTGTCCCTGCTGGGTGTCCCCAAGATGGATAGTTATAAGACCTGGTGATATGAGGACAAAGTTTCCAGGCAGGGATATGCCGCCTGGCAATGGCAGGAGAAGCCAAAGGACGCACGACCGTGAGCCCACATGCCTAAGAATGGGCATGTGGGATACATTTCCTTAAAAGCAAAGACTGAGCTGAGTACAGGCAAAGAGTGAATATGTCCTGGAGAAAAATTCCCTTTGGTACTGAAGGAATTATTACGGCGATCTCTTTCTCATCCGATAATGAAGTATTTAGCAAGGAGATACAGCCCTTCATTCACAAGCACGGCAGAAGCACAGTGTTACCAAGAGCACTGTCATCCTTTGGTTGACAGAAGGCATGCATCCTTGCACACATTTACTCCAGAATAGCCACATCAAAACGAAAATGTGTTTGCAACAGTCTAGCATGTGGCACGCATTTGACTTGCAATTGGTGAGCATATGGCGAAAACTGGCTAGGGGGCCCCCACGTGGCTTTATCACTGACAGGGAGATGGCCGCAGGGGGCTGTCATAAGCCTGTGTCTACTCTCTATCCCCAGAAGACTGGCAGACAGAGCAGGAAAGATGCACGATTTGCTGGTTTGACTTCAGCCTACGTGCACCCCGCCACCACACTTCCTTCCGGGGAAGCGGTAGCCGTCTGGACAGTTACGGTAACGGGTACGCAAGTGCTACAGAGCCACACATTCTTGCGCCTAAAACGCTACGCAATTTTATCCCCATCCGCTAGGGCCTCACTTCGTGGAGTCAGACATTTCTTTGTGTGATTCGACCACTGGGTGGCTTCTCTTTGTCATCACTGCTGGGGAGGTGGCCATCTCCAGAACCATCTCCCGACCAGAATGCAGACTCAGCATCACAAGCCCTGCAGGCAAATCCGTGGCACGTGAGGTTGTCCTAACGATGAACAAATAATAGTCACACACATTTTGGGGCACCTGGGTGGCTCAGTCGGTTGGGCTTCCGACTTCGGCTCAGGTCATGATCTCACGGTCTGTGAGTTCGAGCCCCGCGTCAGGCTCTGTGCTGACAGCTCAGAGCCTGGATGGAGCCTGCTTCGGATTCTGTGTCTCCCTCTCTCTGTGACCCTCCCCCATTCATGCTCTGTCTCTCTCTGTCTCAAAAATAAATAAACATTAAAAAAAATTAAAAAAAAATAGTCATACACATTCAAGTCAAGCAGAACCAGCAAAGATCGAGAGTGACAGTGGGAGAGCAGACACACGTAGTTGCTCCTTGTACCACACACGCCAGGCCGCACGCGTGTCACTGACATAACACACATCCTTGCTTTCAGAAGGCTCACTCCTTGGCTGAGGAAACAGCCATCAACTGGGGTCACCATGGTATGCGGCCAGGTACCCAAGAGAGGGCACTGGATAACAGGCGACGGGGGGTTCCTGGAAGGAACAGCTGGGACCCACGGCAGAGCCCTTCTGCAGCTGTGCTAATCAAACACGGGAACGACAAGGGCAAAAGATCCCCGAGGGCTCAGACCTTGCCTTCCTCTCATGTCGATGAGCCCTCGGCATGGTACCGGGCCAACATCTGCTCACAAAGTTCCAGAACATTTCTGCTCCCCCTTCCCATTCTCTTGCATCAGGACCTCCCTGTCAGCACTACCCCCACCACATGAATCCCCTATCCTTGAGTTGCTGCCCCATGCCAGGCTGGCCGCCCCCTGGGAAGACAGGGGAACAAGTATCATCTACCCACCCTGAGTGCCCAGGAAGCAGGAGGAACCATATCATATTAGTCTTCAGGAACAGCCCTACAGAGAACTAAGGCATCTGTCAACACCGAGGGGTGGAGACTACTCACGACTTCCCATCGCTGCCAGTTCCTGTATTTAATGAGCCTTTCTCTGCCCCAATGGTGTTGGTGGTGAAAGACCCAGTGATACATGAGTGACACAAGTGACAGACCCAGTGCTTGTCATCACAGGGACTACAGAGGAGCAAGGAGAACCTACCTGCCTGGCATGGCAGAGGTGGGGGAACCCTACCACCAGTGGATGGGGAAACCCCAGCCCCTCACCTCATCCAGACACGGGTAAAAATATCTACATGTGACAGTGTTCTAAGAGTAAAAGCACAGTGCCCTAGGCAGGGGGTTATGGCAAGGGACTTTGACAAGGCCTGGGAAGGAACATAAAAGCCGCTGTACCAAAATGACATTTAAACAGGTCTCCAAGAATGAAAAGGAATTAAAATGGGGGAAAAGTAGGGGTGCCTGGGTGGCTCAGCTGGTTAAGCGTCCGACTTCGGCTCAGGTCATGATCTCACAGTTCGTGAGTTAGAGTCCTGCACTGGGCTCTGTGCTGACAGCTCAGAGCCTGGAGCCTGCTTTGGATTCTGTGTCTCCCTCTCTCTCTCTCTACCCCTCCCCCACTCATGCTCTGTCTCTCAAAAATAAATAAATTTTAAAAAAAATTTAAAGAAAAGCAGGGTAAAGTGGATATAAGAATGTTCTGGGCAGAAGGAGAGTATGTGCAAAGACCAGGAGCACAGGGCACACTGGAGGAATGAGAGCTGTCTTGCCACATGGCTGTGGTAATGGGCCTTGCAAGGGGGGATGTTACTCTAAGGGCAGTGATGGCTGCTGCAGGTAGAGACAGACAGACCACACCTCCCAGTGGGACAGCTGAGGCATGTCTGGTGCTATCAGTGAAGCTCCTTGTTAGCGTGGAGCAAACAGTCCAGAAAGCAAACCCTGATGACCGAGAGACTGAGGAGGAAGAGACGAATGCCAGACCCCGGGGCTCAAGAGAAGATGATGAATAGAAACATGGCGCCAGTGGGAAGCTGTTTCCAATCTAAGAGCCACCGGGACAGGTAGCGTGTCAGCCTCTGAGGGGAGCGTGGGATGCTGTCTCCTCAAGATCCCTCTGTGGTGAGGCCTCTCTTATTGCCCTCAGAAAGTGAGGCCAGGAGGGAACAGTGAAGGCCCAGACCATGGTGCTGGGCAGGAAGGGGCAGGGCACCCA